TCTGTGTCCCCTGTCCCCACTCCATGTCCCCTGTCCCCGTTCTGTGTCCCCTGTCCCCACTCCATGTCCCCTGTCCCCATTCCATGTCCCCTGTCCCCTCTCCATGTCCCCTGTCCCCACTCCATGTCCCCTGTCCCTGTTCCATGTCCCCTGTCCCCACTCCATGTCCCCTGTCCCTGTTCCATGTCCCCTGTCCCCACTCCATGTGCCCTGTCCCCACTCCATGTCCCCTGTCCTTTTTCCATGTCCCCTGTCCCCACTCCATGTCCCCTGTCCCCACTCCATGTCCCCTGTCCCCGCTCTGTGTCCCCTGTCCCTGTTTCGTGTCTCCTGTCCCCTGTTCCGTGTCCCCTGTCCCCACTCCATGTCCCCTGTCCCCGTTCTGTGTCCCCTGTCCCCATTCCATGTCCCCTGTCCCCATTCCATGTCCCCTGTCCCCACTCCGTGTCCCCTGTCCCCATTCCATGTCCCCTGTCCCCTCTCCATGTCCCCTGTCCCCTCTCCATGTCCCCTGTCCCCACTCCATGTCCCCTGTCCCCACTCCATGTCCCCTGTCCTTCTCAGGTGGTCAACGCCGTGAACTGCAGCCTTTTCTCGGCAATGTGAGAGGATTTTGTCCCCGCTCTGTGTCCCCTGTCCCCACTCCATGTCCCCTGTCCCCGCTCCGTGTCCCCTGTCCCCTCTCCATGTCCCCTGTCCCCACTCCATCCCCTCTCCATGTCCCCTGTCCCCACTCCATGTCCCCTGTCCTTCTCAGGTGGTCAACGCCGTGAACTGCAGCCTTTTCTCGGCAATGTGAGAGGATTTTGTCCCCGCTCTGTGTCCCCTGTCCCCACTCCATGTCCCCTGTCCCCGCTCCGTGTCCCCTGTCCCCTCTCCATGTCCCCTGTCCCTCTCAGGTGGTCAACGCCGTGAACTGCAGCCTTTTCTCGGCCATGTGAGAGGATTTTGTCCCCGTTCCATGTCCCCTGTCCCCATTCCATGTCCCCTGTCCCTCTCAGGTGGTCAGTGCTGTGAACTGCAGCCTTTTCTCGGCGGTCCTTGAGGATTTTGTCCCCACTCCATGTCCCCTGTCCCCATTCCATGTCCCCTGTCCCTCTCAGGTGGTCAACGCCGTGAACTGCAGCCTCTTCTCGGCGGTCCGTGAGGATTTCAAGGCGCTGAAGCCGCTGCTGTGGGACGCGGTGGATGAGGAGATCTGCCTGGCCGAGTGTGACATCTACAGGTACGGGGCACCGGGGGCCGGCCCTGCCCGATCCCGGGGATCCCGGCCCTGCCTGAGGGATCCCGGCCCTGCCTGATCCCGGGGATCCCGGCCCTGCCTGAGGGATCCCGGCCCTGCCTGAGGGATCCCGGCCCTGCCTGAGGGATCCCAGCCCTGCCCAATCCCGGGGATCCCAGCCCTGCCTGAGGGATCCCAGCCCTGCCGGGATCCCGGCCCTGCCTGAGGGATCCCGGCCCTGCCTGAGGGATCCCAGCCCTGCCTGAGGGATCCCAGCCCTTCCTGATCCCGGGGATCCCGGCCCTGCCTGAGGGATCCCGGCCCTGCCTGAGGGATCCCAGCCCAGCCTTTCCCCCTTTCCCCTTTTCCCAATCCCGTGACTTTCCCCCTGTCCCCATTCCCATGACTTTCCCCCTTTCCCCTTTCCCATTCCCATGACTTTCCCCCTTTCCCCCTTTTTCCATTCCCGTGACTCCCCCCTTTTCCCATTCCCATGACTTTCCCCCTTCCCCCTTTTCCCATTCCCGTGACTTTCCCCCTGTCCCGTTCCCAGCTACAACCCGGACCTGGACTCGGATCCCTTCGGGGAGGACGGCAGCCTCTGGTCCTTCAATTACTTCTTCTACAACAAGAGGCTCAAGAGGATCGTCTTCTTCACCTGCCGCTCCATCAGGTCAGCCCCCTCCCGGAATTCCGGGGCCGTTCCCCGGGGCATTCCCGGAATTCCAGGAGCCATTCCCCAGAATTCCAGGGGCATTCCCAAGGGGATTCCCTGGAATTCCAGGGACCTTTGCCAGGGGGATTCCTGGAATTCCAGGGGCCATTCCTGAGATGGTTCCCCAGAATTCCAGGTGCCATTCCCAAGGGGATTCCCTGGAATTCCAGGGACCTTTGCCAGGGGGATTCCTGGAATTCCAGGGGCCATTCCTGAGATGGTTCCCCAGAATTCCAGGTGCCATTCCCAAGGGGATTCCCTGAATTCCAGGGGCCATTCTCAAGGGGATTTCCCAGAATTCCAGGGACCTTTCCCAGGGGGATTCCTGGAATTCAAGGGGCCATTCCAAAGAGGATTCCCTGAATTCCAGGGGCATTCCCCAGGGGATTCCCAGAATTTCGGGAGCCATTCCTGAGATGACTCCCCAGAATTCCAGGGGCCATTCCCAAGGGGATTCCCTGGAATTCCAGGAGCCATTCCCCAGGGGATTCCCCAGAATTGTAGGGGCCGTTCCCAAGGGGATTCCTGGAATTCCAGGGGCCATTCCTGAGGGGATTCCCGGAATTCCAGGGGCCATTCCCAAGGGGGATTCCCTGGAATTCCATGACTCTCCCCTTTTCCCAATCCCGTGACTCTCCCCTTTTCCCATTCCCATGACTTTCCCCCTTTCCCCTTTCCCATTCCCATGACTTTCCCCCTTTCCCCTTTCCCATTCCCATGACTTTCCCCCTTTCCCCCTGTCCCCATTCCCATGACTTTCCCCCTTTGCCCCCTTTCCCATTCCCATGACTTCCCCCTTTCCCCCTGTCCCCATTCCCATGACTTTCCCCCTTTCCCCTTTTCCCAATCCCGTGACTTTCCCCCTGTCCCCATTCCCATGACTTTCCCCCTTTCCCCTTTCCCATTCCCATGACTTTCCCCCTTTCCCCCTTTTTCCATTCCCGTGACTCCCCCCTTTTCCCATTCCCATGACTTTCCCCCTTCCCCCTTTTCCCATTCCCGTGACTTTCCCCCTGTCCCGTTCCCAGCTACAACCCGGACCTGGACTCGGATCCCTTCGGGGAGGACGGCAGCCTCTGGTCCTTCAATTACTTCTTCTACAACAAGAGGCTCAAGAGGATCGTCTTCTTCACCTGCCGCTCCATCAGGTCAGCCCCCTCCCGGAATTCCGGGGCCGTTCCCCGGGGCATTCCCGGAATTCCAGGAGCCATTCCCCAGAATTCCAGGGGCATTCCCCAGGGGATTCCCTGGAGTTCCAGGAGCCATTCCCCAGGGGATTCCCCAGAATTGTAGGGGCCGTTCCCAAGGGGATTCCCCAGAATTCCAGCGGCCGTTCCCAGGGGGATTCCCTGGAATTCAAGGGGCCATTCCAAAGAGGATTCCCTGAATTCCAGGGGCATTCCCCAGGGGATTCCCCAGAATTGTAGGGGCCGTTCCCAAGGGGATTCCCCAGAATTCCAGCGGCCGTTCCCAGGGGGATTCCCTGGAATTCCAGGGGCCATTCCCAAGGGGATTCCCTGGAATTCCAGGGGCCATTCCCAAGGGGATTCCCTGGAATTCCAGGGGCCATTCCCAAGGGGATTCCCTGGAATTCCAGGGGCCATTCCCAAGGGGATTCCCTGGAATTCCAGGGGCCATTCCCAAGGGGATTCCCTGGAATTCCAGGGGCCATTCCCCAGGGCTCAGAATTCCAGAGCCATTCCCGAGATGATTCCCCAGAATTCCAGGGGCCATTCCCAAGGGGATTCCCTGGAATTCCAGGGGCCTTTCCAGAGATGATTCCCCAGAATTCCAGGGGCCATTCCCAAGGGGATTCCCCAGAATTCCAGGCACCTTTCCCAGTCAGGGGCCATTCCCAGGGCGATTCTTGGAATTCCAGGGACCTTTCCCAGGGGGATTCCTGAATTCCAGGGGCCATTCCCAGGGCGATTCTTGGAATTCCAGGGACCTTTCCCAGGGGGATTCCTGAATTCCAGGGGCCATTCCCAGGGCGATTCTTGGAATTCCAGGGACCTTTCCCAGGGGGATTCCTGAATTCCAGGGGCCATTCCCAGGGCGATTCTTGGAATTCCAGGGACCTTTCCCAGGGGGATTCCTGAATTCCAGGGGCCATTCCCAGGGCGATTCTTGGAATTCCAGGGACCTTTCCCAGGGGGATTCCTGAATTCCAGGGGCCATTCCCAGGGCGATTCTTGGAATTCCAGGGACCTTTCCCAGGGGGATTCCTGAATTCCAGGGGCCATTCCCAGGGCGATTCTTGGAATTCCAGGGACCTTTCCCAGGGGGATTCCTGAATTCCAGGGGCCATTCCCAGGGCGATTCTTGGAATTCCAGGGACCTTTCCCAGGGGGATTCCTGAATTCCAGGGGCCATTCCCAGGGCGATTCTTGGAATTCCAGGGACCTTTCCCAGGGGGATTCCTGAATTCCAGGGGCCATTCCCAGGGCGATTCTTGGAATTCCAGGGACCTTTCCCAGGGGGATTCCTGAATTCCAGGGGCCATTCCCAGGGCGATTCTTGGAATTCCAGGGACCTTTCCCAGGGGGATTCCTGAATTCCAGGGGCCATTCCCAGGGCGATTCTTGGAATTCCAGGGACCTTTCCCAGGGGGATTCCTGAATTCCAGGGGCCATTCCCAGGGCGATTCTTGGAATTCCAGGGACCTTTCCCAGGGGGATTCCCAGAATTCCAGGGGCCATTCCTGAGATGACTCCCCAGAATTCCAGGGGCTGTTCCCCAGGGGGATTCCCAGAATTCCAGGGGCCATTCCCAAGGGGATTCCCTGGAATTCCAGGGGCCATTCCCAAGGGGATTCCCAGAATTCCAGGGGCCATTCCTGAGATGACTCCCCAGAATTCCAGGGGCCATTCCCGAGATGATTCCCCAGAATTCCAGAGCCATTCCCAAGGGGATTCCCGGAATTCCAGGGGCCATTCCCCAGGGCATTCCCTGGAATTCCAGGGGCCATTCCCAAGGGGATTCCCCAGAATTCCAGGGGCCGTTCCCAATGGGATTCCCTGGAATTCCAGGGGCCATTCCCAAGGGGATTCCCAGAATTCCAGGGGCCATTCCCAGGGGGATTCCCGGAATTCCAGGGGCCATTCCCAAGGGGATTCCCAGAATTCCAGGGGCCATTCCTGAGATGACTCCCCAGAATTCCAGGGGCCATTCCCAAGGGGATTCCCGGAATTCCAGGGGCCGTTCCCAATGGGATTCCCTGGAATTCTGGCCCTTCCCACAGTGGCTACGCCTACACCCGCCCGGACACCGGGAACGAGCTGGACATGGACCTGGGCGAGGGGGACACCGAGAAGGGCGACAGCGGCGACCCCGAGGGCGGCGGCATCGAGGAGGACAGGTGGGCGGGGCGGGGCAGGGCGGGGCAGGTGGGCGTGGCCACAGGTGAGGCAGGTGACCCTCCCCGTCCTCCTCGTTGCAGGCCGCAGGTGATGTGCATGTGAGATTCCCGGCGGGATCCGAGACACCGGGAACGGAACCAGCAATGGGACTGGAAATGGACTGGGAACCAAACCAGCGCTGGGAACGGAAGCGGGACCGGGAACGGAACCGGGAACGGAACCGGGAATGGGGACGGAACCGGGAATGGGGACGGAACCGGGACTGGGAATGGAACCGGGACTGGGAATGGAACCGGGACTGGGAATGGAACTGGGAATGGAACTGGTACTGGGAACGGAACTGGGAATGGAACTGGGATTGGGAACGGAACCGGGACTGGGAACGGAACCGGGAACGGATCCGGGATTGGGAATGGAACCGGGACTGGGAACGGAACCAGCACCCAGAACGGAACCGGGACTGGGAACGGAACCAGGAATGGAATTGGCACTGGGAAAGGAACCAGGAATGGAACCAGCACTGAGAACAGAACCAGGACCGGAACCAGGAATGGGAACGGAACCAGGACTGGAACCGGGACTCCAAACGGAACCAGGACTGGGAATGGGGCTGGGAATGGAACCAGCACTGGGAACAGAACCAGGACCGGAACCAGCAATGGGAACGGAACCAGGACTGGAACCGGGACTCCAAACGGAACCAGGACTGGGAATGGGGCTGGGAATGGAACCAGAACTGGGAACAGAACCAGGACCATAACCAGCACTGGGAACGGAACCAGGACCGGAACCGGGACTCCAAACGGAACCAGGACTGGGAATGGAACCAGAACTGGGAACAGAACCAGGACCGGAACCAGGAATGGGAACGGAACCAGTACCAGGAAAGGAACTGGGAATGGAAGCAGGAATAGAACCAGAACTGGGAACGGAACCAGGAATGGAACTGGGAACGGAACCAGGACTGGGAACGGAACCAGCACTGGGAACGGAACCGGGACTGGGAAAGGAACCGGGACTGGGAACGGAACCAGGACTGGGAATGGAACCAGGACTGGGAACGGAACCAGGACTGGGAAAGGAACCAGGACTGGGAAAGGAACTGGGAATGGAAGCAGGAATAGAACCAGAACTGGGAACGGAACCAGGAATGGAACTGGGAACGGAACCAGGACTGGGAAAGGAACCAGGACTGGGAAAGGAACTGGGAATGGAAGCAGGAATAGAACCAGAACTGGGAACGGAACCAGGAATGGAACTGGGAACGGAACCAGGACTGGGAGGAAGCAGGACTGGGAAAGGAAGCAGGAGTCGCACCAGGACTGGGAACGGAACCAGCACTGGGAACGGAACCAGCACTGGGAAAGGAAGCAGGACTGGGAAAGGAAGCAGGAGTCGCACCAGGACTGGGAACGGAACCAGCACTGGGAACGGAACCAGCACTGGGAAAGGAAGCAGGACTGGGAAAGGAAGCAGGAGTCGCACCAGGACTGGGAACGGAACCAGCACTGGGAACGGAACCAGCACTGGGAAAGGAAGCAGGACTGGGAAAGGAAGCAGGAGTCGCACCAGGACTGGGAACGGAACCAGCACTGGGAACGGAACCAGCACTGGGAAAGGAAGCAGGACTGGGAAAGGAAGCAGGAGTCGCACCAGGACTGGGAACGGAACCAGCACTGGGAACGGAACCAGCACTGGGAAAGGAAGCAGGACTGGGAAAGGAAGCAGGAGTCGCACCAGGACTGGGAACGGAACCAGCACTGGGAACGGAACCAGCACTGGGAAAGGAAGCAGGACTGGGAAAGGAAGCAGGAGTCGCACCAGGACTGGGAACGGAACCAGCACTGGGAACGGAACCAGCACTGGGAAAGGAAGCAGGACTGGGAAAGGAAGCAGGAGTCGCACCAGGACTGGGAACGGAACCAGCACTGGGAACGGAACCAGCACTGGGAAAGGAAGCAGGACTGGGAAAGGAAGCAGGAGTCGCACCAGGACTGGGAACGGAACCAGCACTGGGAACGGAACCAGCACTGGGAAAGGAAGCAGGACTGGGAAAGGAAGCAGGAGTCGCACCAGGACTGGGAACGGAACCAGCACTGGGAACGGAACCAGCACTGGGAAAGGAAGCAGGACTGGGAAAGGAAGCAGGAGTCGCACCAGGACTGGGAACGGAACCAGCACTGGGAACGGAACCAGCACTGGGAAAGGAAGCAGGACTGGGAAAGGAAGCAGGAGTCGCACCAGGACTGGGAACGGAACCAGCACTGGGAACGGAACCAGCACTGGGAAAGGAAGCAGGACTGGGAAAGGAAGCAGGAGTCGCACCAGGACTGGGAACGGAACCAGCACTGGGAACGGAACCAGCACTGGGAAAGGAAGCAGGACTGGGAAAGGAAGCAGGAGTCGCACCAGGACTGGGAACGGAACCAGCACTGGGAACGGAACCAGCACTGGGAAAGGAAGCAGGACTGGGAAAGGAAGCAGGAGTCGCACCAGGACTGGGAACGGAACCAGCACTGGGAACGGAACCAGCACTGGGAAAGGAAGCAGGACTGGGAAAGGAAGCAGGAGTCGCACCAGGACTGGGAACGGAACCAGCACTGGGAACGGAACCAGCACTGGGAAAGGAAGCAGGACTGGGAAAGGAAGCAGGAGTCGCACCAGGACTGGGAACGGAACCAGCACTGGGAACGGAACCAGCACTGGGAAAGGAAGCAGGACTGGGAAAGGAAGCAGGAGTCGCACCAGGACTGGGAACGGAACCAGCACTGGGAACGGAACCAGCACTGGGAAAGGAAGCAGGACTGGGAAAGGAAGCAGGAGTCGCACCAGGACTGGGAACGGAACCAGCACTGGGAACGGAACCAGCACTGGGAAAGGAAGCAGGACTGGGAAAGGAAGCAGGAGTCGCACCAGGACTGGGAACGGAACCAGCACTGGGAACGGAACCAGCACTGGGAAAGGAAGCAGGACTGGGAAAGGAAGCAGGAGTCGCACCAGGACTGGGAACGGAACCAGCACTGGGAACGGAACCAGCACTGGGAAAGGAAGCAGGACTGGGAAAGGAAGCAGGAGTCGCACCAGGACTGGGAACGGAACCAGCACTGGGAACGGAACCAGCACTGGGAAAGGAAGCAGGACTGGGAAAGGAAGCAGGAGTCGCACCAGGACTGGGAACGGAACCAGCACTGGGAACGGAACCAGCACTGGGAAAGGAAGCAGGACTGGGAAAGGAAGCAGGAGTCGCACCAGGACTGGGAACGGAACCAGCACTGGGAACGGAACCAGCACTGGGAAAGGAAGCAGGACTGGGAAAGGAAGCAGGAGTCGCACCAGGACTGGGAACGGAACCAGCACTGGGAACGGAACCAGCACTGGGAAAGGAAGCAGGACTGGGAAAGGAAGCAGGAGTCGCACCAGGACTGGGAACGGAACCAGCACTGGGAACGGAACCAGCACTGGGAAAGGAAGCAGGACTGGGAAAGGAAGCAGGAGTCGCACCAGGACTGGGAACGGAACCAGCACTGGGAACGGAACCAGCACTGGGAAAGGAAGCAGGACTGGGAAAGGAAGCAGGAGTCGCACCAGGACTGGGAACGGAACCAGCACTGGGAACGGAACCAGCACTGGGAAAGGAAGCAGGACTGGGAAAGGAAGCAGGAGTCGCACCAGGACTGGGAACGGAACCAGCACTGGGAACGGAACCAGCACTGGGAAAGGAAGCAGGACTGGGAAAGGAAGCAGGAGTCGCACCAGGACTGGGAACGGAACCAGCACTGGGAACGGAACCAGCACTGGGAAAGGAAGCAGGACTGGGAAAGGAAGCAGGAGTCGCACCAGGACTGGGAACGGAACCAGCACTGGGAACGGAACCAGCACTGGGAAAGGAAGCAGGACTGGGAAAGGAAGCAGGAGTCGCACCAGGACTGGGAACGGAACCAGCACTGGGAACGGAACCAGCACTGGGAAAGGAAGCAGGACTGGGAAAGGAAGCAGGAGTCGCACCAGGACTGGGAACGGAACCAGCACTGGGAACGGAACCAGCACTGGGAAAGGAAGCAGGACTGGGAAAGGAAGCAGGAGTCGCACCAGGACTGGGAACGGAACCAGCACTGGGAACGGAACCAGCACTGGGAAAGGAAGCAGGACTGGGAAAGGAAGCAGGAGTCGCACCAGGACTGGGAACGGAACCAGCACTGGGAACGGAACCAGCACTGGGAAAGGAAGCAGGACTGGGAAAGGAAGCAGGAGTCGCACCAGGACTGGGAACGGAACCAGCACTGGGAACGGAACCAGCACTGGGAAAGGAAGCAGGACTGGGAAAGGAAGCAGGAGTCGCACCAGGACTGGGAACGGAACCAGCACTGGGAACGGAACCAGCACTGGGAAAGGAAGCAGGACTGGGAAAGGAAGCAGGAGTCGCACCAGGACTGGGAACGGAACCAGCACTGGGAACGGAACCAGCACTGGGAAAGGAAGCAGGACTGGGAAAGGAAGCAGGAGTCGCACCAGGACTGGGAACGGAACCAGCACTGGGAACGGAACCAGCACTGGGAAAGGAAGCAGGACTGGGAAAGGAAGCAGGAGTCGCACCAGGACTGGGAACGGAACCAGCACTGGGAACGGAACCAGCACTGGGAAAGGAAGCAGGACTGGGAAAGGAAGCAGGAGTCGCACCAGGACTGGGAACGGAACCAGCACTGGGAACGGAACCAGCACTGGGAAAGGAAGCAGGACTGGGAAAGGAAGCAGGAGTCGCACCAGGACTGGGAACGGAACCAGCACTGGGAACGGAACCAGCACTGGGAAAGGAAGCAGGACTGGGAAAGGAAGCAGGAGTCGCACCAGGACTGGGAACGGAACCAGCACTGGGAACGGAACCAGCACTGGGAAAGGAAGCAGGACTGGGAAAGGAAGCAGGAGTCGCACCAGGACTGGGAACGGAACCAGCACTGGGAACGGAACCAGGACTGGGAACGGAACCAGCACTAGAACTGGCACCAGGAAAGGAACCAGGAACGGAACCAGGACTGGCAACCAAACCAGCAAAGGAACCGGGAGCGGAGCCAGGAACAGAACCGGGAAAGGACCCGGCCCTGTCCCGGCGCCGCTGGTCCTTCCTGAGCCGCGTCCCCCCCCCGCCCGGTGTCACGGTGTCCCCACGTCCCCCCTCCCCCGGACACTGGAGCCCCCCGGGAATCCCGGAGCTCCGGAGCCGCTGCCGGAGCCGCGCCGGGAGCTCCGGAAGCTTCGCTGCACTTTATGGCTCCCGCCCTCGGCTGCACTGACCCCCGTCCCGCCTGCCCGGGCTCCTGGCGGGCTCCATCCGTCCATCCCGGGCCTGCCCGGGGCAAAGTCCCAAATGCCACCCCCAGGAACTGCCCCCCTGCCCCCCATCCAGAGTCCGTGTGTTTCAAGAGTTTGGCTTTGCTCTCTGTCTCTGCTGCAGCTCTGCTTTTCCTGCTGGGATCTCACCTGGGCCAGGTGAGCCCGCGGCCTGAGGCTGGCGGGGCCCAGCTGCGCCTCCCCAGGGGTCTGGGGTCTGGGTCAGGGGTCCCACCCGCACCTCCTTTGGGGTCTGGGGTCTGGATCAGGGGGTCCCACCTGCGCCTCCCCCGGGGTCTGGGGTCTGGGTCAGGGGTCCCACCCGCACCTCCTTTGGGGTCTGGGGTCTGGATCAGGGGGTCCCACCTGCGCCTCCCCCCATTTATCCATGGGGAAATTCCATTTACCATGGGGAAATCCCATTTATCCATGGGGAAATCTCATTTACCCATTGGAAAATTCCATTTCTCCATGGGAAAATTACATTTATCCATTGGAAAAATCCCTTTATCCATGGGAAAATTAATTTATCCATGGGAAAATCCCATTTATCCACTGGAAAATTCCATTTATCCATTGGGAAATCTCATTTACCCATTGGGAAATTCCATTTATCCATGGGAAAAATCAATTTATCCATTGGGAAAATCACTTTATCCATGGGAAAATTCCCTTTATCCATGGGAAAATCCATTTATCCATGGGAAAATTCCATTTATCCATTGGGAAATCTCATCCAATGAGACAATTACATTTATCCATGGAAAATTTCCCTTTATCCATTGGAAAATTCCATTTACCATGGGAAAATTCCATTTGTCCATCGGGAAAATCCCATTTATCCATGGGAAAATCCCATTTATCCATGGGAAAATCCATTTATCCACTGGAAAATCCCATTTATCCATTGGGAAAACCCTATTTATCCATGGGAAAATCTCATTTATCCATTGGAAAATTCCATTTACCATGGGAAAATCCCATTTATCCATTGGGAAACCTCATTTATCCATGGAAAAATTCCATTTATCCACTGGGAAAATCCCATTTATCCATGGGAAAATTCCATTTATCCACGGGGAAATTCCATTTATCCATTGGGAAATCACTTTATCCATTGGAAAATCCCTTTATCCATTGGAAAATCCCATTTATCCATTGGGAAACCTCATTTATCCATGGGAAAATTCCATTTATCCATGGGAAAATTCCATTTATCCGTTGGGAAATCTCATTTACCCATTGGAAAATTCCATTTATCCCTGGGAAAAATCCCACTTATCCATGTGAAAATTCCCTTTATCCATTGGAAAATTTCATTTATCCATGGGAAAATTTAATTTATTCCTTGAGAAAATCGCTTTATCCATTGAGAAATCTGATTTATCCAATGGGAAAATCCCTTTATCCGTGGGAAAATTCCATTTATCCAGTGGAAAATCTCATTCATCCATGGGAAAATCCCATTTATGCAGTGGAAAATCTCATTCATCCATGGGAAAAATCCATTTCTCCATGGGAAAATTCCATGTATCCATGGAAAAATTCCTTTTATCCATTGGGAAATCTCATTTATCCATTGGAAAATTCCTTTTATCCATTGAGAAAATTACTTTATCCATTGAGAAAATCACTTTATCCATGGGAAAATTCCCTTTATCCATGGGAAAATCCCTTTACCCATGGGAAAATTCCATTTATCCATTGGGAAGTCTCACTTATCCAATGGGAAAATTCCATTTAGCATTGGAAAATTCCATTTACCATGGGAAAATCTCATTTATCCAATGGGAAAATCCCTTTACCCATGGGAAAATTCCCTTTATCCATTGGAAAATTCCTTTATCCATTGGAAAATTCCAATTATCCATTGGGAAATCTCATTTATCCAATGGGAAAATTCCATTTATCCATGAGAAAATTCCATTTATCCATTGATAAACCCGGGGTTTGGTGTCACCCATTGAGGGTTTGGTGTCCCCAGGGTTTGGTGTCACCCATGGAGGGTTTGGTGTCTCCAGGGTTTGGTGTCACCCATGGAGGGTTTGGTGTC